TTTGCAACCATGTTCCAAATGGCATCATAATGGCGACAACATCAACATAGGCGATGTCGTGGTTATCCGGCACGAGAATCTACCAGCAACACATTGGCGGCTTGGCAGGGTGATTAAACTTCACCCAGGCGAAGATGGCTTGGTACGAGTAGTCACGATCAAGCATTCAGCAGGCGAATGCATGCGACCTATCCAAAAAATATGCAGGCTTGTGGAGCATCCTGAACGTACCCGTCCAGCCGGGGAGGATGTTTGAGATTTGGCGCAGCAACAAGGCGATATGGCAGCACACATTTAGTAGTTTTTGACGATGGTATCCTAACATCTGGCAGCGATAATTTTGGCTTCGTTTTTTTGCTTTTTCTTTCTCCTTCTTCTTTACTTGACTGGCAGGGAGTGTGCACGTTTATTTGGCTTGGCGAGATATAAATTATTCTAGTCTAATTTTTTCCTAAATTGAATAAATAAATAAACATTTTGCGTGTGTGTAAAATAATCGTGTTTGTTTTTCATACAACCTCATTGTTTACCGGACTTGACTGTCTGTTTAGCAAATACGAATCACTATTCCTCTGATTACAACTGCGACTCGGGATCAACTTTTTGAAGAAAGTTGCCTTATTATCACTTAATTTCACATCTACTTATTCTAAAATATTGTTTCCTATCACCATCGGAAACAATGCATCGACATCCTCAACTATATGAACGCAAATACTAAAACTAATGCCATCGACTTCGGCGTTTAAAGCCATGTATTCCTTCGTAAATACTTGTCCGCCACCTACTCCATATAGTGGCGTAACCTGGTTACTATATTCACGACCTACTACTTCATTAAAATGGCTTACTCCCATTTGCGTTATGTCACACCCTGTGTCTACGAATGCAGTAAAAGCACCTTACCTTGAATGCACACCTCCTTGAATATTCTATGCGATTTTATCAAACCGCCGTTTAACACACGATTCCCATTCCAGATCTCTATCTTCACGACTCCTGCAGCCGTCGATTTTTTCTCATTTTTACATTCAAATGATCGATGTCCTAGCTTACCGCACCTAAAACAATTTACTTTGTTATTTCTACAATCTTTGGCAAAGTGCTCGCTATCACCACATTTGAAGCATTTTTTATTGTCTTTATTTAATCTGTTCATGCTGCTTTCAGTATATTTCTCTGTTGACTTTTGTTCGGGAAAACTCCGACCTAAACCCTATGAGCCGCGTATTTTCTCGTAAATGGGTATCAGCATTTTCAGACTTGATTCCCTCAATAAAATACGTAATAAGACTTTCGTTATCTAGATTGACATCGCCACTAAGCTCTTATAGACTGTAAAGATATTCGCGTAGTGACTCACCGTATTTATGATGGCGATTTCGCAGCCTACGGTGCACCTCCGCACCACAAACCTTCCTTCTAAATTCCTCCCTTAAAGCTAATTTTAAAGAGGCCCAGACCTTCACTCCTCGATGACTTCGGACAAACAGTTTGGCAGAGCCTTTCATGAGTTGCTTGCCATAGATGTACTTCTGTATATCGTTCCACCAACTGAGGTGGCATTTTCTTCAAAACCACGAATCCATTAACATACGTTTGTATTGTCATCGCCATCGAAGGGTGACAGACTATCCTCTATATCCCTAAGTGTAAAAAGCTTCTACTCTGTGCAGCACCTGCGCTGCGACTGCAATCAGTATTTTTGCTCTTACAGTCTGCATTACCATCACCTAAATTATTTAAATCCATGCTTTCACTATTTTTCGCGATACCTAAATATTCTGGCAACCTGTTTGATAATTCCGTCTTTCTACCTACGACTGACAAACCTGATTCTTTAAGCTTATCCTTCAGTGCACCCTGCAGAGTGTTGTCGTCCATTTTGTGTAATATTTAGTATTTTATATATAACTTAATATAAATGTAACAGGGTGGCATCACTGTAATCATGACAGTTGCTGTGTGTCACAGAAGAGAAACGGAGCAGTTGCCGACAGTGGTTCGAAGGAATCAGTCGTGTGCGGTCGGTCATGGTAGTGAACGTATTATAATGATAGTGAACATATCATTTCTTAAATTTTGTAACATTGTATAACATTTTTTGCATTTCATAATATTTTATAACTTTTTTTGCATAATAACTGCACTAATAAACAACATTTCTTACATAAATATATCATAAATACAATACCTATATGATATAAAAGATTATACGATAAATACAGTGTGTGATATATGAAAAAAAATTACGTACAGAATACAAAAAAAAAAAAATATAAACATAAATTATTTGACTTATTTGTTTTTGTATCCCAGCTTCTCTTTGTACTGTGTTTCTAGGTGATGAAATCAGACTTATGCTGGCGCCTCGATGTCGTACTTGATCACTGCTTATTTGCCTGTTGTTGTTTTTTTCTGTTGTCGACGTTCTGCTCGTTTGTTGTTTCGCTGCTTGTAGTTTCTTTTCTGCTTCTAAGGTTCTGCTTCTTTGTTGATTCGCTACTTGTAGCTTATTTTTCTCCTACCAACGTTCTGCTTTTTTGTAGCTTGTAGTTTCTTTTTCTGCTTTCAATGTTATGCTGCTTGTAGTTTCTTTTAATTTCTCGGAATTACTTCGTTAGGGTTTCATCAACACTTTGCCGGTATTAACGCATTCGAAATAACCATTTATGCGTACGATTATATATATAACATTTTATTGTTATTTTTTTTAATATTTTGTTCGACCATATACACGTCGCCCACATAAAAGTTAATAAACCAATCCCGGTTGAGCCCTCATTTGTGGGCCCATGTTTGCCAATTTGTAACTTTAATTATATTTCATACCACATTGATACAATAATTGTAATATTCAAATAATTGCCATCAAACTTTTATGGAAATATATGACCTGTTTTGTTATTTTCTTTAATAACTAATAATTTATTGTAGTGTATAATCTTAATGTTTTAACAATTTTCAACTTCGACAATGTCCAACACATTTCAACTCATACAAGAGTTCACACCCCACACAACTGTCGTGCATTTCAACTCAACTTACACTGATTCTATTCACTGCACTCTTTGTGACATCTTTATAACGACACAAAGTTGCCAACCCTACATAAATGTTTGTCGTTAGGTAATAAAATAAAATGAGAGTAATCTAAAAACTTCCAAACTTTTCTAATTAACTTAAACTTGTGTTTTTTACTATGCATAATAGTAATAAGTCTCTTTTGATATTTAATTGCTGGTTGAGTTAGTCGGAATTTGATTGTTTTATGTAGGGTTATATTTGTTCATGCTAAAAGTTCTGTCGTCAATTTTTTACTGTAAATAAAATTTAAAGTCCTGCCTAAGATATCTAAGAAATCAGGAACTATTGCATATTATTGATAATTGGAGATGAAGATGACTTATTAGCGCCAAGTGACACTTCGCTACCTATTGAATAATAATGTTTGCCACCTGATAATCGTGCTGGTGAATCGGAAATGATTGAAATGAAATGATTGACGATGATGAAATATCAACAAACATTACATGCGACTTTAAAATTTATTTCCCTTTTTTGAATTCCGCGTGTCTAATTGTGAGATGGTATTTAGGTACTATTGAAGTTGTATACGAATCAAATGCACAAGATTATGGAGGTCTTGTAGAAATACCTGAGTCGCAACTATTCACATTGCAACTTGTAAAACCAATACGTTTCGGTTATACATTAAGACCGAAAAGTTTTCGGAAATTCTCATTTAAAATTCGCGCGCTGTATATTTTTCGATATTTTAAGTTTATGTAGTTTGGCAGCACTGTCCTTAATTACTATGCCAAAAATGAGCGCGATCTGTCAGACAGTTCGTTTACGGCAGCTGTTGAAACCAGTTCACCTCAGTAGGGCGTTGCGAAAAAAACAATGGAAAAAAATATTGAACAAAGAGTTTGCATCAAATTTTGTGTTTCGAACGAAATTTCGTGTGCAGAATCGTTGCGAATGCTACAAAAGGCTTATGGGGAATCAGTTTTATCGAAAACTCAAGTTTATGAGTGGTACAAAGCCTTCCAGGACGGTCGTACGACCGTCGAAGACATTTCGCAACGCACTACTGAGGTGAACTGGTTTCAACAGCTGCCGTAAACGAACTGTCTGACAGATCGAGCTCATTTTTGGCATAGTAATTAAGGACAGTGCTGCCAAACTACATAAACTTAAAATATCGAAAAATATACAGCGCGCGAATTTTAAATGAGAATTTCCGAAAACTTTTCAGTCTTAATGTAAGCTATGAACCCTTTCTGTAGATAGTGGATATATCTTCCAGTTTCTGCCATACTCCAGTGCAACTGGCAAATACAACAAGCAATTTGGAATCGGTACATTTGTTGTAAAGGAATTATTGAGCCATTGTGAGTATCCATTGCAACATACTGTACATTAAGACCGAAAAGTTTTCGGAAATTCTCATTTAAAATTCGCGCGCTGTATATTTTTCGATATTTTAAGTTTATGTAGTTTGGCAGCAATTAAGGACAATTACTATGCCAAAAATGAGCGCGATTTGTCAGACAGTTCGTTTACGGCAGCTGTTGAAACCAGTTCACCTCAGTAGTGCGTTGCGAAAAAAACAATGGAAAAAAATATTGAACAAAGAGTTTGCATCAAATTTTGTGTTTCGAACGAAATTTCGTGTGCAGAATCGTTGCGAATGCTACAAAAGGCTTATGGGGAATCAGTTTTATTGAAAACTCA